CAAATCTACTCATAGTTTATTTTCAAAACTTAAATTGATAGTTGACTAATTATTCATGTTCAAAGTGAAAAACAAGAATATGAAATCAACAATTTATATATTTCGAATATAGAATTTATGATTCAATTCCAAATTATATTTTAATCTATCTTTGTAACCCAAAAATTACCATAACTTAATAAGGATCGTAAATGCAATATTTATTGCGTCTGCAAGCCCTGGCCCAGCTTTTGCACTGAGGGGATATGGCCCTTACTTTGAGGTCCTTTTCCACTTCTGTGAAATTACAAAATGGTACCATTACTGTGACTCACTCTTACACCACCCCCACAACATCATCACATGGGTACGTTCGACATTTCACTCAAAAAGTTAACTTTTCATGCTCCAAATCCAAGTCACGCGTACTGTACATTTTGTCTCTGAAATTAAGCCAGTCAATGGGTAAATAAAAACAAGTAAAACACACAAAGTACATTATACCTTCTCTCCTCCCACCCCACATGTGCCAGATCTTACGTCACAACTGAGGAAACGGGCATCTCAGAAGAAGCGCACGTGCCAAACTGCAATTAAGGTCTCATTTGGAGAAAATACAATAGTGATTGCATGTTATTGTTGAATCATCATATAATCGTTCATGTAATCAAATAGAAAAATTCGACCCTTACATTGTAGCTAATGTCTGAGTAAATAAATCTCTTGGGTTAAATCAACCATGCCACGCTGGATTCTCTAAGGTTCGTTTTATTGCAGGGGCGTCCCGATCAAATCGAGGGCCCAGTGCGAAATTCTAAGATGGGTTCCTAATGACCTATTAATATTAAACAATAATAAACTCAAAATAATAAATGTTGATATATGTGACTTCAATTAGTGTCTTTGTCACGTGCCTTGACCAAATGTCTCAATTCTTCAATTTGTCTTTTCTTCTCCACACCAATTTCATTTTTCCTTTTCTGCATTTCTTCTGCAACTTCCCCAAAGCCGATTTTTTCTCCAATCTGATCTCGAAGGTGAAGCTTATATTTTGGGGACCCTTCAAATTTGGGGGCCCTGTGCGGTCGCACAGCCCCCACGGGCCCAAGGACGCCCCTGTTTATTGTTGGATCATCAAAGTCAAATTCATATATCCAATAAGATAAATACGACGATTACATTGTAGCCAATGCCTAATGGATAAGTAAAATCTCAATAAGAAAAATTCGACAATTACATTGTAGCTAATGGGTGAGTAAAATCTGGGGATAATTCAATCATACTAGTTTTTGTTGTGGTATCATCCCAAGATCATAAACATAATTGGGAGAAAAATAAGTTTCTATTACTCACAAGAATAAAAACAAGAGATTTACAAACTCTAAAAAAAACTCTCAAACTCTCCCACAACTCTTCTTGGTTGTGTTTCAACACTCTCAAGGTTGATTGATCACACTCTTGGATGATTCAAATGAATGAAATGAGCACTCTATTTATAGATACAAGAAGGCACACCATTATTGACAAAATGGTGTGAAATGAGAAGGTTTGGTGGAGGGTGGTTCTTCAATGGTGTGTCATTGATTTCTTCAATGGTGGGCTTCAACAACTTGCATGGAACTTTCAGTTTTCTAGCGTTTATATATAAACATTAAAAAGTTGAAAATCGATTTTTCCTATTATAAAGTTTATGTATCACATACACTTATTATATGTTTATATTTATTTATTTTTTTACTATAAAAGGAACTTATATTAATTTATCAAAGTAGAATACAAAAAAGGAGCTTGAAAATTAAGTAAGCGAAAGAAGCAATATAGTATGAGCAACATTGTATGCCGAACAACGCATATGAAGAATTTGTCTAGTTGTTGCTGCTTCAGACATAATAGCACAAATATCATTAGCCCAAGAATGAGTGTAGCCTAGTGTCTCGTCGAAGTCGGCAACTGCTTATACCGTCAATAATGGGTCTGCATAAATCAGTAAAGGAATTTTATTTAACTCACAATAATTGTCCAATTTTTATTTAATACCTAGAAGCTCACAATTGATGATCGAGCTCGGATTACTGACTTGCCTTCCAAAGGCGAATAGAGCTCTCCCTTGATCATCCTTAGTGATTCCACCAACACTGAATCTCCCCGCTCTCATGTTGATACTAGCGTCCACATCAAGATGAATTGAGTTTGCGAATGGAGACTTCTTGTAAGAATTGGGGGAAGAGGGTGCAGCCCCACGCAGGTAAAATGCACCATAAAAGGATGAGCTTAAGTGCACATTAGTGAAGTTCGATCCCAAAACCAAATGGTGATGGGAGGAGTAGCCCACTGATATTCCAACACGCCTTTCAATTGTGATTCCTTCATAGGCCCAAGCCCAAAGCAGACTGGGTAGAGAGTAAGCCTAAGCCCAGAGCAGGCCGGGTAGAGATATAGATCCATGTCGGATTTGGCCTGGCTCTGATACCATGTAAGAATCGAGGAAAATTGCAGCGTTCCCACGCATGTGAAGAACACCATAAAAGTGTGAGTCTGAGTGCACCTTAATCAGATTCCATCCCAAAATCAATTAGTGATCGGAGAAGTAGTCCACTAGTCATATAAGCTAGGCTCATTTACGCTATAGAATCAATGTGGAATAACTTACAAGTGATATTCCAACACTTCCATTTACAGTTTAGCTCATCATCTTGGACGACTTGATCTTCAGAGCCCTCGCAAGCTAGTTGAAAATATTGAATTAAGCTCTCGCCATCTTCCACTAAATTAAGGCATTTCAATAGGTGACGTATAACTCATTGTCTTTCTTTTCAAATTAACCAAGAATGAACTGCAAATATTTCAAATTCCCTCCAAGTCACATTGTTTTGCATCCAAGCACATAAATTCAAAGTAGAGCAAAATTTTGCCCATTTGAGGACCGAGTAGAAGACGCTATTTTTCCAAAGTAACAGCAGTCGGAGGCAGAAGAAAAGCGAATGAATGGATGGATAGCAAAAGGAATTGCAAAGCTTATTATATATTTATATTTTTACAACATCTTAGTGTACATATATGCATGGTTAATATGTGTGAGTTATAAATTACAAATTTTCATGAATGTTTATTTGTATTTTACAGACAAAGACATGTTGCAAACGTGAAAAATGAGCACATCACGTAATTTCTTTAGAAAATAAAATGACTACATAGATGTAATTTCTGCCTAAGATTTTAGCACAAGGCATGGGAATCAGCATGTGTGTGACACATGTCATATGGCAAAAATTCAAAATATTACACTACGAAGCTATTTGGACAATTTAAAATCAATTCACATGAATCGAAGACCATAAAGTATTACTTCATATTTTATTTTATTTTGTAACCAATATTTGACTTCGGAGTGTTGAAATTCCACACACATATATATATATATATATATATATATATATATATATATAGTTAAGAGGACCCTAAAAATTTTCATAATTACGTAAATTTGAAAAGTGCGAAAAATGTATTAGGGTTATATTTGATGCCAAAATGACCTCCACCTTAGTCACAAATCTGAATAACTGGCTCTAAATTATATTTGTAACCTTTACTGTGTATAATTAATACTATTAAATAAGAAAAAGTAGTTGTGCAAAAATTGTTGAGCCCTATACAAGTAGGCTAGTGCCTATGGGGAGGTGTAATTAATCGGACATAAGCTTAAAAGAGATTCATATGCTTGTAATCTTCACTGTGTATACTATTCATTTTTTTTTTCCTCGGATTCCCTCATAAAAATCTAAATATTTTTAACTTAACTATTTTTTTAATTGAATTTTAACTCAACCCCGCTATCATCAATATTATTAATATATATAATTTTAATACACTACTCATCTTCTTGCATAATTTTAACTAACCTTCATTTCAAATTATTTTTCTTCTACTTTTACGTCAAATCAACTTTAATTATTTTATTTTAAATATTATTTTAATATACCTACTAACAACTAACCATACCACTTCTTTTAAAATTAACCAAACCAAGTCAAAAATTCAAACAAAACCAAAAAAATTTTATATCCAAGCATCCCTACAAAAACGTGGACTTCAAAAATAGCTATTGATTTCTCATAGCTACAAAAACACTTTATCCGTAAGCACTAAAAACATTCGTAAAATAAATAAGAAACTAAATTCTTCAAAATAAATAAGAAACTCATCAGGTGGTCAGTAGTGTAAAAACACTGAATCAATAAACTGAATAAAAGAAAAACGCTCATAGACACTAGATGAAGTCTAAAATATTATGAACTCGATAATTGCAACAACCTTTTATTGAGTCTTTGTGCAAACTTATATACAACTTACTAAAGGTAATCAGTCTTCACAAATTTCTCCTTTCCTTTAAGAGTCGATTTCATTCCTTTCGTAGTTTCACATGAGTTGGACATAATCTTCAACACAATAATGCGGAATCCATTGATCACGATCAGCTTCGTGTTTCTAGTGATGCACGATCAATATTCCTAGAAAAAGAAACAAATATTATAGAAAGAGTTATATCAAATATTTATGCAATCTATCATATACTAAAGCAACCTGAATAATAGTATATACTTAAATTATAGAAGAGAGAAAATAGGTATTCCCCTTTAATTCTTTTGCTTGCAAAAAAACCATTAAGATATTATTTTAAAACTTTTGCCTAAAATAAATAGTTGGTAGTACATTTATCTTCAGCGTTTTTATCAACCTTCATTAACCATTGTTTCTCTTATTAAACTTTATAATTTACTATTTATAAAATTGCGACTAGGTTAATAACATGATTAGGGATGAACAACAGTCCTATTTTTTCGCAAAACATTGAACTGCAAAAACAGAAAAATCGAAATTTTAAAATTTTCAAACGAAATCTCATTGCATAACCCACTCAAAAATAATATCAAACTGAAATTGAATGGAGCATTTCTCGTCTCACAATAAAAATAACTGAATGCATAGGTCGACTCAGTTTTATATTTGACTATGCAGTTGAATCCGGCTCGCGCAAAATCGCTTCAAATACTTTACACTAAAAAAAGCTCAACTCTTATATAATAACCATGTTTGTTAATAACCCCAACTACCATTTTTCTCAAAAAGCTTCTCTTCAACTCTCAAGTCTCGAAACATAATAGCATTTCACACACGTACACACACGTATACGTTCAGAGCTCTTAAAAATGAAGCTGCCTCTACCATTACTCCATTAGCAGCTATAAAACCTTCCCCTGTTTTCTCTGATCGTACGGAAACCCTTATCCACCATTAATATACACAGATAAGCAAAGCTTGTTTCTACTCTCTCTCTCCACTGCAACTAATTCTGAATACTCTCTGAAAAGTTAGCTCCATTAATTATTGTCTTCTTCCTAGCTTCAACCTCTGCCTTACTCTCCAAGCCTGGGAATTTTTATTTTGGATTTGAGTTCAAAATCTCCAATTTCTGTTGTTCGCGAGATATAATTGAGGGGAAAAAATAAATTAATTAACTAGCAGTGAAAATCTGAATATTCTGTGTGTTTTCTGAGGATAATCTCGATCAGTACATGAAATCCGGCGCAAAATGCTAGACGATTCGCGCAGGAACTCGGATTCCGACGGATTGTACTCCGGCAAGAGCTCCATGAGCAGCGACACAACCGCCGCGACGGCCCTCAGCCACTCCGCCAGCTTCGGCCGGTTCTCGTTCGAGCTCCCGACGAGCTCGCCGGAGCAGGCGGCGGCGCTGCGGCCACACCGGTCGTCGGACTCCTCGTTCCGGGGCGTGCCACTGCGGGGCAGCCCCGGCCTCCGCGACTTCAGCCTGGTGCGGCAGATCGGCGGCGGCGACATCGGCCGCGTCTACCTCTGCCGCCTCCGCGGGGCGGCGGACGACGGGCGGCTCTACGCGATGAAGGTGGTGGACAGCGACGCGGTGGCCCTGAAGAAGAAGACGGCGAGGGCCGAGACCGAGCGGAGGATCATGAGGCGGCTGGACCACCCGTTTTTGCCGACGCTTTTTGCCGAGTTCGAGGCGTCGCGCTTCTCATGCGTGGTGATGGAGTACTGTCCCGGTGGCGATTTGCATTCTCTCAGGCACAAGCAGCCGCACAAACGATTCTCCCTTAGCGCTGCGAGGTAATTTAATTTATTTTTTATTTGATTTGTGCTTTTTCCTGCCAAAATTTGGGAATTTTAAAATTTGTTCCAATAATTCGTCAAAAGTTGCTCAAGCAAAGCATTTTAAAGAAAATTTTCACCCCTTTTCTCTTTTGTTGCCCTGTTTTTAACATATGATATGAAGTATTGCCCCAAGGAAAAATCAATGACCTTTAAAATTTGCCTCATTCAGGATGTTTCTTGCTTTTCTCAATTGCTCAAATCTGATTCCAAAATTTACTACATCAAGAAAAGCCCTTTTGCCTTTATCCATTCAAGCAAGAAATCAGAAGCCCCTTTTTCAGCCATAAATTAATTCTTGCTAATTGGTAGCTGATTTTACTTTCTTAGTAACTAATTAATTAAAAAAAAATATCTCCAGGTTCTACGCAGCTGAGGTTCTTGTGGCACTAGAGTACCTTCACATGCTCGGAATAGTTTACAGAGACCTAAAGCCGGAGAACGTGCTTGTTAGATCCGACGGCCACATCATGCTCACCGACTTTGACCTCTCCCTCTGCTCCGACTCCACCGCCGCCCTCGAGTCCCCGGACTCCTCCCCGGGCCCGCCGCCTCCCTCCCCCTTCGCCTGCCTCCCTTTCGGCGGCCGCCGCCTCTTCCGGTCCCGGAAGGTCCGGACGGCCCTGGCAGCGGGCCTCCGGTTCGTGGCCGAGCCCGTCGCGGCCCGGTCGTGCTCCTTCGTCGGGACTCACGAGTACGTGGCTCCCGAGGTGGCGCGCGGCGGGCCCCACGGCAGCCCGGTCGACTGGTGGGCGTTTGGGGTGTTCGTCTACGAGATGATTTACGGGCGGACCCCTTTCGCGGGGCCCACCAACGAGGCGACCTTGCGCAACATCGTGCGGGCCCCGCTCGAGTTCCCGCCGGCCGGGCCCGGAGCCGGAGGGGAGACGCGGGCCGCAAGGGACCTGATTGCGGGCCTGCTGGAGAAGGACCCGGCCCGGAGGCTCGGGTCGAGGCACGGGGCGGCAGATGTGAAGACGCACCCATTCTTCAAAGGGATGAATTTCGCACTCATTCGGTCCGCGGCGCCGCCGCAGAGCACAGCGAGGTTGAGGCGGCAGAAGACGGCGCCGGCTAGGTCACAGAAGGAATCGTTCAGTGTCTTTTGATTTTATTTTATTTTATTATTAATTATTATTTTTTTCGCTTGTTAGGTTGTAAAATGTGTATAGGAAAAAACACGACATAGAATGTGGTGGTACCACGTTAATCGCCTATTGATGTCGTGTCACCAAATGACAACTTTCATAGTATGATGCTGATTGCTGGTGATAATTGATAGTTGAGAGATTATTATTATCTGCTTTTGTTGGCGGGTAAGTATGATTTTAGTGCATATGGAGGAATTTTTAACGCAATTTGGCTGGCAAACGGTATTTGTGAGCAATTTGATTAACTTCCCTCAACGGTATGCCGTAGGTATATTTGGGCAGAAAATTCATAAAATAAGTTAGGGAAAAATTTATTAAATATTACTCCCTCCGTTTCTTATTAAATGTCGTTTTGACTTTTTTGATTCATCCATTTTGCTACGTATCTAGACATATTTTTATGTCTAGATACGTAGCAAAATGGATGAATCAAAAAAGTCAAAACGACATTTAATAAGAAACGGAGGGAGTATAAGTTAATTGATTATTATGCGATGTTTTAAGACCGACTAGCGACAGAACAATGATTTGGATATACCTCCGGACATCGACTCAATTGTATCTACTGTTGCGAAATGCGTAAATATTATTTAAGATGCAAATATACACAAATAATAGTTGTAAATAGTGAGATAGTTCTTTGATAGACTTAATAGACATTTTGAATTGATATGTATACCTTCAAAGAATATAATTCTATAACAAAACGTAAATAAAATAATGATGCTTTAGCATAAATATGCATTTTTATTAAAAAAATTATATGACGAATCGACTAGATTGAAATGTTGATACAAGAATTTGTAATTTGTAAATCATGTCTCTATGTTTTCGATTTAATTATACACTTCATATTTTAAATTATTATAAATGTGAGGCGTACAATAAGGTTTCATTAAATAAAAAAAGAAAAATCATCAAAATTCGATATTCAAGAAAATTTTAAGACAAAATATGTATTATATTACGAATTTGATTTTAGTATCCTAACGGGATCACGTTCAACTATTTCATTTCAAACTCAAATAAACAAATAAAATTGACCACAAAATTTCCCCCCATATTGGTCGGGCCAATTTTGCGAAAATATGGCAGCAGAGAGGAGTGGAGGTCGCTAAGATGCGCCGTCGGTGGGACAGCAAGAATCGGCGTCATGTGGAAGGTTTTGTTCTTGTTTCCAAACACCCTTTAAGATCATAATACCCAAATGTCAAACTCCCTAAGTACATTATTTTATTTATTTAATTAAGTAATTTATTATTTTATCTTAACTACTTTTTTTACTTGCTTTATTTTTTAAAATTTTTCACTTGTTAATATTTGAATGGAGTTGTTTTTCGAATCAAGTTTGCTTACAGCTCAATTGGACTCGAGCTGTCGGCTTGTTCGTGTATCTAAACGAGTCCGAGTCAGATAACTAATTGAGCTTGTTTAGTGAACAATGCGATTCGAACTTGTTCACGAACATATATAACTGTCTTGATGTTTTATGAGCTCTAAATGGAACATGCAAACTGAAATTGTTCACAAACAAATATTTCATATTTGCAAACAACTTGTTTAGACTTTTAAGTTTACTGAACAAATTGAACTGAGTCGAGCCGGACTTTGGCGAGTTTAAACAAACCGAGGTCGAACTAAATTTTTGGTGCGTTTATTAAATGAACACAAATAAGACTCTTAGATTTGTATGCACGTTGGGTAAATTTTTAGCTTTGGACTATACAAAGCTAACTTTTGACTTTGAGACTATATCTCACTCTTAGATACAATCAAGTGGTGCAAGAGAAAACATTTGAAGTAGAAACTTTTGACGAAATTGTTACGATAATATTTTTCTAATGTCACCTAACACTGTATAATCATAAATTTTTCACTAATGGCGGATCAATTACGCAATCTATTCACATACTTAAGACATATATTTTATTTCTTTATAGACTATGATATGCATGACCCTAAGTAGTTTGTTGAAAATTCTTCAAGTGCCCTTTGAAATATGTAAATGCTGGATAATATTGCAACATTGAAAGCGAAGGGTTTATATATAGATCAAAGTACAAGTCTTTGACCGTTCATGTGTATCATGTTAATTTCTCTATTTTATGTCATTGTGTGAGAAAATTATTTTTTATAATGATTTCCAAGCAAGGACGCACAACAATCACGCACTTACATATGTTCAAATTTAATTGTGTGTGAAATAAGTTCTGAACATTTTTTTTTTTGTTGTGAACAATTTTTTTGTTATATAATTCTATAGTAATATTTTCCAATGAAAATTCCAATGGATATTCCAATGATATAGCTTCTGTTAGAATGATTTCAACGGAAATTCCAACGAAAATATTCGATTGGAATGTCTTTTTCATTGGAATTTTAGATGGAATTTGATTATTCCAAGGGCTATATTTCCAGCGACATTTTACCGTAGGAATTTCCGTTGGAATAAGAAATTTTCGTTGGAATTTGTATTTCCACCCCCATTGAAAAATCTACCGTTGGAATCGCGAAAATCCAACAGAAATTCTAATAGAGAACTCATTCCAATGGAATATTTTTTTTTGGAATTTCCGTTTGAATCATTCCAACGGAAATAATAGCATTGAGAAATAGTCATTAGAATTGCCATTGGAATTCTATTTGAATATATTTATGTTAAAATTTCTTCATTTTCTTGTAGTGATGTACACAATATATAAAAAAACTCATTATAAAGATAATAGGAGCACATAACATGCATATTTTTCTTCTTTTTATATCCATCTATTGAGACAAATTTTTTCATGTATCCCATGATCTTTCAACAGCACACTTATTGTGTATGATATGTTAATCTCTTGGCACATGAGTCAATGTATAAATTTATATGTACGCACTATCGGTAGACGTACAAATGTACAAGATGATACTTTTAAAGTGATTTAATTGTAATTTAGTCGAAGTCCTCGAAGTGCAAAATTGTTAACTTTTTAACTTAAACTTTCTTTTTAATTGGTGCAAAATAGTTTGAAAAAGGCCAATGGTCCATTTTTTTTTTCATTCTTTTTTTTTTTCTATTAATTTAACTTTCATTTATACCGTTTTTTTTAATTTTGACAACGCATATAATGGGCCATATGAGTAGCTGCCAACCCTTGTTTTAGCCCACTGCCCCGTCATGTCCTGCACCCATAACACATAAAACCAAACACATTCCGGCCCGCTGGGATGGGCCCAGCTACCAAAGCCTACGTGGCATTTTCTGATTGGGCCACGTTGGCGAGACTTACAACATCTGAGTATGAAATAAAACCAAAATAATGAAGGAAAATAAAAAAAATCCATCTGATTTGACACATAAACAAGAACTGGGGGCCCTAAAAAGTACCAATAATTTACACATTGCGTGAATGACTTTCAGGGTGTTATATTGCCTTGCTTGAGAACAAAAATAAATAAATAGAACTCCACAAATAAATTATTTAACAATCTGTTTGGACATATTTATATTAAATAAATATTTTAAAGTAATAACAAGTCACACAAGATCCCCAACTAGTTATATCTTTATATTATTTAACAAAATTGACATAGGGAAGTAATTATATTGAGAAGATAAAATTATTTCAAGCATTGGTAGAAATTAAAACACCGTTTATTCGAAAAGAAAGAATAGTTTGAGAAAAGGGTTAATTATTTATTACACAAACAGTTACAGGCGCAAACGAGCTCAAGTCTGAGCCTCTCAACTTGTTAACTATGAGAGCTGATAAAAGAGTTCAAGCTCATATCATTAGTCAATATTTATAAGAAAAAATTGAACCTTAAAGAGCCAAACAAATATAATTTAAAAAAAATAAGTAAAAAAATCATATTCTCAAACCTTATAGGGTTGAGTGGTTATAAATCTTAACTAGAAAAGTTCTTTAACTCAAATCCAACTTTCATCAATATTATCAATTTAATTAAATAATATCAATTAATCATCCTCACACATCACATCAACTTTAATTCACTATTTATTAATTTTCACTTAATTTTAACTAGTCATCACTTTCAATTACATATCTTCTATTTTTGTATCAAATCAACTTTAATCATTTTATTTTAAATATTATTATAGCCGAAAACTAAAATTCCACTTAAACCTAATATAACTAACTTTTTCAAAATTCATTATAATTAACCAAAAAAATCAATCAAAACAATTTATGTCCAATCATACCCTATCTATCCAACTTTGGCTCATTTGAGTGGATCTCAAGAACGAGTCGTTATTTTACACCCAATCATATAAACAAAGTTTGTTGATTTTTTATTTTTTTTTCTTCAAGGAGATAGTATATTTCATTCGGTGCAAAAGGTAAAAAAAAAAATGATGGCTATTACAATGAGGATGAAGAAAAGACTAACCAGCCATTGATGGATGGATGAGAAAGTTTTGTCATCATCTACAACGCACTAAATAAAGGTCAATGATTTTTTCTCAAAATGTATGGTGATTCATAGAGTTGGATCCAAAGCTCTCAATTTAATGATCTACCAAATAATTTTCAAAATGAATCTATTATTTTTCATCATTGAAACACATAGTTTTAGTGTAAGCACATTCAACAGCTGCCTTTTTTTTTTTTNTCACTTTTTTCTTTTTTCCTTTTATTATGGCAACAAGGATGAACGAGCAGATTTCAATCACTCATTATATAATTGTTTGTATGTATTGGGTTTCAATCCTGCCATCAAGTGGGTCTCTACCTTAGTACTTAAATACTTATTTTTTTTTAATAAAAAAATGATGTTAGATAGATCTAATTATCGAACAGTTATATATTTTTTTTAATATATTTTGCTTACATTGGTACAAAAATGTTGCACAATCAAAAATAATATATAGACATTTAACGATATAAATAAGCATTTTTTTCTCCAAAAAGTATAATGAATTAGCCACATGGCTGTCTAACAGCAATATTTGTCCATTGAGTTGTTTTCTGATCCAAGCTAGAGCTCCCGATACTCGAGTTCGGCCTTGAGACTTTATCAATAACAAAACGAACCAATAAACAAGTTTGCTCAGCTCGTTTGCCAATATTGACTAACCGAACATAAGTCATAACAAGTTAAACTCGAATTTTTACGAGTCAAATTATAAAAATCACAAAAAAAAAACTCTATATTAACCTAATTATCTCAACTCAACTCATTAGCTAAACGTGCTCGAGCTCCACTCGGTTATCAAATGAGCTGTATTGAGCTCGGGTGGTTTTCTTTACTCCTCACTAACACTCACCATATGAGATCTAGCTATAAATCACAATGTGGAACAAAAATTCTCACTTGATTAGTAGCAATTGCTCTGAATTTGATTTTCTAAAAGAAGGGCCAGAAAATAAGTAAAAAGACAGTAAAACAGGAACATGTGACCAAAATCCAGGAATGATATAACTGGATTACATGAGACATTTCTGTTTAGTAATGCTAGGAAAACAAAACTTAGGGTATAATATTTTATACGGACGAAAATGAAAAATTGGCTCACTGGTGGAATAAATTGTCCTATGAACAGGGTTTGAAAGTCAGTGAGACAAACAAAATAAGATCATTCACATGCTCGTTAAATATGATTTTGACTTATAGTCTCACATATTGTTATTAATATATACGCATGCTGTGCATGCAGCCGTTCTTGAAAACTTCGAAAATGAAACAGGAGGAGAAATATATATATATGTATAAACAAGATAATATCGAACTAAAGACTTGAGAATCTAATTGGTCATCGAACCAATGAGATCATTACTTAAATCGGATGAATAGGTGATTAATTTATTAATATTTTAAATATTATGCATATTTTGAGTGATAAATTTTATATGTGGTGTTTAAATTTTATTACATATTTTCACACTAATATAACATGAAATAGGATTAACAATAGTGCCAAAGACAAATACACAAATTTTGGAGGGCAAAACGTGGGGTAAAAAGAGCAAGCCACTCATGAACTCGACTTGGCTCAACTCATTAAGGCTCGAACTCGAGTTCCGCTCGTTTAAAGCTCGTTCACTTAACGAGCTAAATTCGCCTCGACTCAATAAGACTTGAAAAAAATGATTCTTATATATTTTTTTGTAGTTTAGTTCGATTTTGGCTCAAAGGCTCAAGCCCAGCTC